TTTTTTTTTTTTTTTACTTTTGTTCTAAGGAGTATACTCCCGTGTAACTGTACTTGCTCGCTGTTGGGAGGACTGAATGGGCTGTAATGAGCTTTTAGAGCCAAGTCGAGTATCTTCATTACATGGCTCGGAACTGTCGAGTTTGAATATTGTCTTTGTTTTTCCATCGATGTATTTTTTTTTTTTTTTTTTTCCAATTATTCAACAAAACGTTACCTCATCAAAAGTTTTAACTCGTTGAATTTCAAGATCAAATATTTAAACATGATAATTTTTATGATTTCAGCAACACTTTCACCAGAAAATATGTGGGACTGTTGACTACAGATATGATAGGTTGCAAAGAGGCATCAACTGTGTGTATATTTGGCAAGCCATAATACTTAGCTAGTGTCGTATCCGTAAGAGACAAAGCATTGGGATCGTAAGTTTTGGAAAGAAAACCGTTAGTATGCAGCTAATTTAAAATAGAAATGATTTTTTTTAGTAAAAAAATCGGGAGATCCTTAAAAATAATTTTGTGAGTCAATGTGTCAGACAACAATTCGTGCATTTTTGCGGAATAAACACTCTTATTGAGGTACATAGTTATACAGTTACATAATTTTCATTGGCAATAATGAAAAAAATGTACTTGTAATTTTTAACTTCTCTGTATATTCACGATCCCTACTAGAATGAAATAATGTTTGACTATGTAAGGAAGTTTCTGGGAGACTTTTTCGCGAATTATAGTTTTTTCTCGTTCATTAGTATCGAAATTTATTTATTTCTAAAACCTTGCCCCCAACGGATGACTTATCACGTTACTTCTCAATTAATCAGAGGGCACTGTTTTGACATACTATTAATAAACTATTATTAGTACTATTATCTTTTAATTGACTTTATTAGTTTAAAAAAATTGTTTTCGTTTTCGTCCTAGTCTATGACAGAAACTCTTGACTATCACATAAAATGTTCTACAAAAAATTTATAAACATAAAATTTAAAATCATTCGTTATGTCGATGGAGAACATTATAGGTCAATAGTCAAAAATTATATAAATCATAAAATTTCGATAAAAAAACTATGAACTGCTAAAAAAAATTGCGACAAAAATATTTTGTCATTTAACTATAAGTTTTATGTTTAAAGTCACTTAATTATTAGTTTTATGTTTTTATGTTTATATTTACAAAAAAATTAATTCACTTTTATAAGACTTTACCGTTTCTTACAAGTTTTGTTTTTGTGAATTTAGTCACGTCTTTTAATGATTATTTTAATTATATCTCAAACTTAGTTAATAATAACAGTATTTTTAAGTTCTTGCATCTGCTTTTGTTTCCAACTTACTTTTTTCAATTTTGAATCGCTCTTCATCCTTTATTTTTATTTTGGTGTATTAGTCTTTGTATTTATAATTTTTTTTTATTGACGCTTCATAGCCGTACTTTTATCAATAACTTCCTCCATTTAAAACAGTATTTTCCTTCGTAGCTTTACTTTTAAATGAACAAACTCTAGATGGCTGTCAAAATATGTGAGTCTAATTTTTTTTCCTCCTGTGAATGTGTGTCTATGTTTGAATTTTTCTTTTTTTTTCGGCATATTTTTAGTTCTTACGGCAAACTTATTTATGATAAAATCTGTTACGCTAAATGTATAAAATAAAAATATAAGTGACATGTAAAGAAACTTTAAAGCACCAAGGATAGAGGTGCAGTTATAAATGGTGTTTTAAACTGTTATGGTAATCATCCTTAACATGATCTTAATTTTTATTATACTTATACAGGCTCTCACTCCTAGACTTGTCGGCAGAATGCTTAGCTAGTTATTTTTACGTACTGAGGATTTTAAGACTTACTCTAATGCACTAAAAATCAAGTACTCAGAATAAATAAAATAAAAAAATGCACTTCCACGAGGATATTGATATAAGCACTTAAATTACACTTACTTTAATGAATCCGTAATTCATAATTTTTAAAGGAATAATCAAGTGTTTATAGGATGATGAAATTAAAAACACCTTTTTAGAAGGGAAAAAGCGAAAACGAAAAAACTTTTTTATTAAAGAAAGGAACAATGAATAAAATTACACCTTAATAAACACGTGGACGCGACCGTGGTCGCTTAATAGTCTTAATATACATTCACACTCGCACACACGTGAAAACCTATATGTTTTTAATAACCGCCGCAAACGAGAGTACGATAGCCTTATGTACTACGACTAAGGACATGTTCTACGAATAGGGACGTTTACCTGACATTGCAGCATACATACATCT